GGCTTTTAATTGTATATTTATTTATTGTTTTTAATGAGTTGTGAGCCACCCAGAGTCCCCCCTTGGGGGGAGATGGGCGGGGACAAATTTAATGAATAAAAGCCCTTGCATGAGGTAAGTATTTTCACTGAGAGAAGTACAGAGCCGAAAAAGAAAAGAAAAAGGAGCTTTAGGGCAGAGACTCCTGCTGTTTGTGAAGCATGTCACTTTCTGTTCCAGCTCTATGCCGAGAAGGTGGCCACAAGAGGACTGTGCGCCATTGCCCAAGCAGAATCCCTGCGTTACAAGCTTCTGGGGGGCCTTGCAGTGCGTAGGTAAGCATTGGGGTGAGGGCAGATCGAGCTTTCTTCTTCCCTACTGGATACAAAGGCTCTCGATTTGATGCAACTCTCGTTCGCAAACCCTAAATGGGCATGGAGAGAAAAGGGGGGCTTGGGTGCTTCCCACCCCTTCAGGTTCACAAGCAGAGCATGGAGGTCTGTGAAAGGTTGGTTAAACGTAGTGGATGTTGAGGGTCAGGGTTAGCTTGTTGTGCGACCTCAGCCTAATGAGGTTCGAATGCACCGCTCTGCCGTGGCCTGCAGCAAAGAGGCTGCTGTAGCTGAGGTTTCCGGTGGGCCTGTTGCTGGCATCTTTAAGCGTGCTGATCTGCGCCTGAGGTAGATGCCTGACACGCTTCTCCGGGGTCTTGCGTCTCGTGATGGGGCTGTTCTTAGCTGCCTGCTTTGGAAGCAAACGAAATCCCTTCTGTGATGATACGATGACGAGTCAGAAGAGACTCCCTTCTGCCCGGGCTCAGCAACACTCTGCCACGTTCTGTGGCCCTGTGTTGGTGGCCCTGGCAAAGAGGGGGGTCTGCTCATTGGATGAACTAGAGGCATTTGTCTGAGAAGGGCAGCTCTTGAAAAGGGGGGGAAGCTCCCCCCTCCCCAGCTCTTGCGCTTACATTTAAATAATCCCAAAGCCTTACGGATGGTTTCTCTCTGCTTAGGGCGTGCTACGGCGTCCTCCGTTTCATCATGGAAAGTGGAGCCAAGGGTTGCGAAGTGGTGGTCTCGGGCAAACTCCGGGGCCAGCGAGCCAAGTCCATGAAGTTTGTGGATGGCCTCATGATCCACAGTGGGGACCCCGTCAACTACTACGTGGACACTGCTGTGCGCCACGTCCTCCTCAGGCAGGGTAAGGCGGGGGGCCTCCTCCAAACTGCTCCGTTCAGCTCACACTGTAAAAGCCCCTGCCCCCACCCCGGTTTGTGGGCCCTTCTCCCTTGAAGCGCCTCTGCTGGGCTGCCTTCTTGTGGGTCTGGACCAGGAGCAAAGTGCCCTTTGCAGTTCTGTGCGTTTGTTTTGCTACGGACCATCACGATTAATTTTGCCAAATGTCAGTTGCGGAAAGGGAAGGGCCCACTGCACGGGGGGAGTGGGAAGAAAGCCTCCCCTGCTGCAGCCTGACGCGCCCCCCCATCCTGCGCTTGCACGTGTCATCTTTCTTTGCAGGCGTGCTGGGCATTAAAGTGAAGATCATGCTGCCCTGGGACCCTAGTGGGAAGATCGGGCCCAAGAAGCCCTTGCCGGACCACGTCAGCATCGTGGAGCCCAAGGAGGAGATCCTGCCCACCACCCCCATCTCGGAGCAGAAGGGCACCAAGCCGGAGCAGCCGCCCATGCCCCAGCCTGTGCCCACGGCGTAAGAGGTGAGGGTCTGGCTCTGCTCCGCGCTGAAAAAGGCCCCTTGAGGGTGAACCACAGAAAGCGCCAGTGGCAGGCGAAGACCTGATTTAAATTGTTTGGGGCATTTGTGCCCTTCGTCCTATCCCAGAACGTTGCTTGAAGGGTATTGTGAGTGGGTCATTTCAGCGTCGGTATTTGTGGCCTGGGTTCTGAGCCAGGTTTGATGGGTGGATTTGTAACAAACACTTCTGGTTTTGTGCTCTGCCGTGGTAAAGCACACAATAAATAATAAATGTATTATTATTCTCCAACCTGGTGACCTTCCCCTCACTGCGGTTCCCGTCAGCAGCTGTGCAGTACCTCTTGGGGGCACCCGGTTAGGGAGAGCTGTTGCAAGCGGCTGGCTGCATGCGACACCAAAAGAATTATGGGAATTTGTATTTATGGGGCAATAAAAATAGGTCTCGTCCCCAGTGATTCTTTTTAAACTAAGGACTGGGCTTAATTGCTCACTAACTGATACTTTTTCTTTTCCTTACAGGTTTTTGATCTAGAACCTTGTAAAAATATCTCTTAATAAAATTTTAAAAAGCCAGCAAGAGATGGTCTTTCTTTTACCTGGTCTCAGGACTGAGATCCTGTATATTTGAAATCTAGTTTAATCCTTCCCACACCAAATTGTGCTCTCAATTATGACAGTTTAGCCCATGTTTCTCAACCTTGGCAGCTTGCTGGCTAGGGAATTCTGGGAGTTGAAGTCCACGCATCTTCAAGCGGCCAAGGTTGAGAAATGCTGGTTTAGCCCAGCTAAGTAGCAGTCCTTCACAGACTTGGGCTGATGCGGGCAGGTTAAGGAGCTTGGTGGACCTCATTAGTCCTTGGGATAGGAGACCACTAGGAAATGCCAGGATTTTAAAACTGCTGTGGGAAGTAGTTAAAATATCTGGGAGAAAGGGGTTGGTAGGCTGTCTTCATGCCTGTATGAAGAGAATTGGATAGGTTCATCCATGAAGTCACTGGGAATAGAGCTGGAACAAGAAAGAAATTTTATCTTTTTTTTTTTTTTTATGGGAAGTTAGGTTTGTTGGTCCCAGAAATACAAACACGCTCACAAGTGCTACACTAATTTAGGGTCCTGGAGTTTCACTGTGGGATTATCTGTTTGCTGGATGGCCTATAACATTAGGCTGCGTTGGTAGCACTGAGTCATGCCCTCCAATCTTGAAAAGAAGGGGCCGGACGGCACACTCTTCGAGATGGGTCAAGTCCATTCACAGGGTCCTCAGAATTGGATAAAATTCCTGCAGTTTGAGGCTGAAAAAGCACCAAGCCAGATACTTTCCAGGTGATGCGTGTTGTGCTGTGAGCGAGCCATCCTGGAAAAGCAAAGCAGAGTGGAGCCTGATTGATAATTGGATGGGAGACCACTAGGACATCCCAAGGCCAAGAAGCTACAGAGGGACATTTCAGAAGGTGGCCTTGGCAAGCCACTTCTGTGCCGTTGCCAAGAAGCCTCTGTTGCTGGGTCCCTAAAGTCATCAGGATCTGAGCTTCTCCTGGCTGGGGGAGACCCCAATGTAGCAAAGTGTTTGCAAAAGCTAATATTCCTGTGGGGGTAAAGCACGAGGAACCAAAACATCTCCTGCCGTCTGCACTCTGGAATTGAGTAACGTGGGAGACGAAGGCCTGGCCTTCAGCGCATCGGTCTGCGGGGATCTGAGTGGTGAGACGAAGAGGTGGGGCTGAGGCTGTTGGGGGGCAGATGTGACGAAACTTTTTCAGGCGCTGTTCCTGCCCACTCCAAATGGGGCGGACGTGCACCCATGGACAGGCGGCTTCATGGCCAAGAGGAGGAGAAAGGAGCGTTAGGTATGTTCGCCGCCTTGATTTATTTATAAAAAATAACTGCAGGATAAAAAATTGAAGAAAAAACGCCCGCAGCAACATCATGCAAACACCGCCGTAACCTATTTGCGTCCTGGCATCTGATGCGAGTGTCCACACTGCACCATCTGCGTTTTATTTTATATCCCCTTTCCCCCAGGTGCTGCGCACAGCACTCCCTCCTCTCATCTCCCCCCAACAACCCTGTAAAACAGCCTGGGGCTGACAGGGTGACTGGCCCAAATCTCCCTACCCCGTGAACTTCCAGAGCAGGAGGCGGGGCTTGAACCTGGGGTTCCCAAGGCTACTCTAGATCAGTTTAAGATGGGTGTTCAACTCCCAGAACTCCCCAGCCAGCATCCTGGCTGGGGAATTCTGGGAGTTGGGAGTCCACCGTCTTAAGTTGCTGAGGCTGAGAAACACTGGTCTAGAGCATAACTCCATCCGTGGCCCTTCACTTTTCCAGCTTAGCCAGATTTAGTCACAGCACAACATGCCAACCTAGCATCTGGGGACCACCTGGTTTCATTCTTTTTCTGTGTTCTGGAAAGGAGGGGGGAGGTTTCTGATGCCCCCCAAAGCAGGGACGTCTGCCAGTTGCTGCCCAGGACCTTACGTGCGCCCCAGAGTAAGAGAGCAGTTCACTGAAAAATATTTTATTGCAAAAATTGTACAACAAAGTTGTGTGTGGTGAATAAAATAAAAGACATCTGTATCACAAAACACTGCTTAATTCACCCCCCCACCCCTTCCCCCCCCAAGACCCTCTCCGCCCCATAACCTGTCAGCACCATTGCCCAGCATGCCCTGCAGTGCTGTGGATGTTGGGTCTGAGCTGTGCACCCAAAAAGAACATGAGGTACCCCCTGGTGGTGAGGCTGGTCATGCATGTAACATGGGAAGGGCATGAAGTTAGAATGGGGGGCTTGTGCATGTCTGTTTTTCTATTTTACCTGAGTCCGGCCCTTAAATTTAGACACAGAGATGCTTAATATTAGCTCTTCAAATTCTTAAAAATCAACTCTTAACTTTTGTAGGATTGTACAATGCAGCAAAATGTGAATCAGAGAGGCTTGGTTCATGCATGTTGCACCAAGATTAGCCCGTTCTGCAAATATACTGGTTGAACTATTTACTAACCTTGTTAAGGCATGGTCTGGGTACATCACCATCAGGAGGAAAACACTGCCTTCAGCTGCCTCTCAAGAGTGAGCACTTCCAGGTTAACTCTTAAACTTAAACCCAGGCACGAGGCTCAAAAGCACCCTTCGGTGTGAAACGCAAGCATCAGGACGGGCCAAAAGGCTTGGAATATTATGCCACAGCTTGCCTGCCAGAGAAGCCAGCATGTTTACCTTTCAAAGGCCAGATTTAATCAAGGCCGCCATCTCCCAGCTCCACATACTTGCTACACCCACAGTATAATGTCTCCACTCGTCCAGCTTCCTCATCTACTTAGGATGGGCCTGCAACACCATTATCCCCAGGCAAATTGAGAAGCTTGGGGGATCATGGTCCAAAGCACAGAGAAAACGGGAAGCGGCACCAGCATGCCAACAAACCAAAATCTCATTGCTGGAGAGGAGCATCCTTCTCAGCCCTTCAGTCTAAATCAGTGTTATTCAACCTTGGCCCCTTTAAGATATTTGGTACCCCACCCCCCCCCACATACCCCCCCCCCCTCCCTCTCGCGGGGGGGGGGTCGGCCGGCGAGCGCCCGCCC